AATATTATAAAATGAAAAATTAAATATTAGTTTTTATTTAAAATGTTCTAGTATCACTGGGTTTGACTTTCATACTTTGACTAAAATATTCATTAACCAGTGATTTCTTTACTTGTTTTTTCTCACTGATATAAGGTTTTGAGACTTGATAACATAAGTTTAGTGGCAATTTTTCACACATGTAGCTCATACAATTTGTTCCAAATAGATTTAAAGTAAGTTATGTCAAAAAAATTTGTTGTTTAAGAATTATACATGTATACTAGCAATTAATTGTTCATGATGTTATATTTGTGTTTAGTGTTTTGTCAATATTAATATTAATATTCTATATTTCATTTCTAAGTTATTGATGCACGTAAATTACATGCTTTGGTGTTACACATGTTTTACTTGCGTTGTTTTATAAGACTTAATTATATGTTTTATTTGTCGGTTTTCTCTTACATTTACAATTGGTATTGTTGGTTTCACGTGTTCCAGAAAAATAGGTAACACAAGATTTGAGTTGAAGTTTGGGAATTGAGTTCTTTGGGTAGATTGTTGTTAGGTTGTTTGGATTTTAATTTTGAATAAACGATTTTGTCAAGGCATGCCCAATGGGAAGTTTGTTGGGTCTAATTGTGATTGGCTCCATCCATATCCAAAATCATTGTTATTCAAGTTGTAATTAAAGCCATAATTAAAGTCAAAAGAGTCGAGGTTGATAAAATTTTGAAAGGTGTTGCAAATAATTCAAGAAAAGCAAGAAACGGGATTGTGACTGCTCGCTGCACTCCAAGGAGGTGCTTGAGTGTTCGAAGTTGGAATAAAATTTTTTTATTATTATTATTTTTTTTTTAGTTAAAGGAGGACAATATCTCCGAGATTTTATTAATATGCTCTCATTTGTGGTGGAGGAATACTGTGGTTACATGTGAAAATGCTGAAAGCAGTAAATGAGAAAGTACTATTTCCCTTACAATGGAAATGAATGCTAAAAACAAAATAAATGTAAAGTTTTAAAATAGGAAGTACTACTTCCCTTACAATAAGAACTTATGCAATTAACTATAAAATCAAGAATATTATAAAAATAAAAGTAAACTTATAACTCATGTTCTAATGTTGGACAGTCCATGTCTATCTATTTGTACGAGTGCCCTAATTTGTTGTGGTAGGTCAAATGGTCCTTATACCTGATATCGCCGATGATTCCATCCTTCTGTAGCAAGAGCATCTACAACCTGGTTTCCTTTCTGAAGATGTGGGAAACTATATCTCCATCGAAGATGTTTTCTGTAATCTTTTTTAGTATGCCCTGAATAGTTCATGGTCATCCACCTTTGATGATACAATGAATGGCTACACTAGAGTCTGCCTCAACCCAAATCTTTGAAAATCCAAAGCTTTGGCCAGTAATATCCCATCAAAGTAGGAATGATGGCGCTCACTGTCTGCCAACTTGCCACCCCATTGCTCGCTAGGTATGAGGTTCGTTTGAGCAATGTATTTATTCGAAAAAGCTTAGTTCATGATTTTATATTGATTTTTCGATTCTATTCAACCTCAATCACTTCATACTGTAAATATCCAAGCATAGGCCCATACTATAGTGTGTTGAATCATTATTTCGTATTAGAGATCATGTTATTGAAGATCCAAAATACAATCTAATGATCTCTTGATTCAACACTTGATCAATTCTTCATAATTCATCCTAAACATATTATGTTATTGGTCAAGCCCTAATTTTAGTCAAGAGAATATCTTTCATAGATCAATTACATATTTTATTTGGGCGAGGGACGTGCTAGAGATGTGTTCTATTTTATGTAAAAATTGTTCGAAACTGGGAATGAATGAAATACATTGAGAGAACAAAGTTATAATATGAGAATCTAAACTTGCATTACCTTTGAATGGCACTAAGTGTTAGTTTTTATAATAGAAGTTGATAAAACACCTTTGGATAAAGACGCACGTGGCTTCATCCCTATGGCTAGATTTTATTGTCATAAATACCAATCAATCAATCCTAATTTGTGTTGCATTTAATATTATGATAGTTTAACAACTTTAAGCCTGCCACGTGAGGTTCTACTTGACTTGTTGATTAAGTAGGACTACTTATTCAATTAGTTATCACATCACCCACTTGATACAAGATATGAAGATTCTCTCTGTTGCGTCTACCAATCCACCTCAACTGCATAGTTTCGACTGTTGATGTTCAGTTCTTCCTACTAGATGGGGCTTCGACCTATTCATGGGTTTAGCCAATTTTACAATGTTAGCAGGATAATGTAGAATACATGACTATGTTTATTTCAGACACGACTCTTACTGGAGCTTCGCTGATAGAGATGTAACATCATACATCTCAATCAGGTGAAATCCATTCACTAAAGGAGTCATGTTTTACAAATGTTTTTTTTAACTCAATTTCAAAAGTGCAAAACTTCGCATGCGCACTACATAATATTTAGGTTAAATGAGATAATGTCTTTCGTCCGAAGAGTAAGGATTGGTTTGTGTTTTGAGAATCAAGATTTTTTAATTAGTCATTGGAGAAGAAATATGTTTAGTGCTTACTAAACCATGATGCACATCCCATTTTCTAGATGTGGAAGAGGCTGCTGGGAGCACTTCAACTGTCAAGACATACAACTATATAATTGTTTCATCATGTTCGAGCATTGGTTTATCATACTATTCTTCTCTTGGTTCATATTTTTTTGTTCATTCTTCATATTTCCAACAATATAAAATGTTATTCAATGCAATGGAGATAGAAACAAAATTAGCAATCATCCATTTATTGAATAAGGACTTGTTAAGGCTCAATATGAAGATGCAAAAAATAACCTAGTCCAGGATTTATCAAACTCGGACTCATTAATTACACATTGGGGAAAAAATACGAAGATACAAAAAATATGAAGGTGCACTACTGACCTCGAGTCCTACTTTCAATAGCCTAGTCCATGATTTATCAAACTCAAACTCATTAATTACATATTGGGGACAAAAAAGGGAAAATTGTAGTGCAGTCCATAACCTTTTCATTTTTTGCAAATTTTACCCTAACCTTCATTTCATGCCAGTGAAGGTCCCTAACCTTTCATAAATATGCACCTGAGGTCCATCTGGATGGAAATCGTCCAAAACATCGTCAATTGATCGGAAAATTTCATTGAACTATCTGCTATCGCGATGATTTTATTGGATGTTGATACCTTTTTGGATGATTTTATTGCATGTTGATTTCTTAATTTTTCTGGTCAACTGACGGTGTTTTGGATAGTTTCCGTCCAGATGAACCTCAAGTGCATATTTATGAACAGTTAGGAACCTCTGTTAGTAGAAAATGAAAGTTGGGGTAAAGTCTAAAAAATGAAAAGGTTAGGGGTCACTGCTGCAATTTTTCCAAAATAATAATAATAATAATAATGATGATGATGATGATGATGATGATCTACTTGAACTTGGCATAATCAAGTTGCAAGAAAATTGATATGAATAAAAAAAAAGAGTAATGGGCTGCCAGGAATTTATAAATGCGTCAGTCAATTTTGATATGATTAAAAAACGAAGTAAAACTTTTAAAATTTGTGTTCGATTGTATGTTTGGCGTAATTTTTGTAGGTTCAATTAAATTGACCTTTTCGGTAGAGTTAATTATGTTGCTGTTATAGTTTTTATTTCTTGCATCATATTTTAATCATAATGGAGGTCCAAACATTTTTTCATCATGTCTCCTTCCCGTTACTAATTAAAAAAATGCATTGGAAGTCGTAAAAATTTTTATCTCTCTTGTATTTTTATATATTAACAAAAATAAGTAGTTTGATAAAAAAATTTCTTTTATATTAAAGTACATTAACAAACTATTAATGTAAATTGCATATTGACTTTGCATTGACAAGTTCAACGTAGTACGTCGTCAATGAGTAAATAGACTTGAAAATATTATTTCATAAAACTATTCCATATAGGGAAACTATTCCCACGGACTTCGCTATATTACGAGCCATTTGTACAGTGCGAACTCCTCATAGGAGTCCAGGTGCAGTCTCGATCAGGAAAATATGTCGTTGGTCGTCGATTCCCTACAGTTGGAGAAATACGATTCCTCGTCCTCATCATCCTCGTCATTGTGGCTTTCGCAATTTCTTCCAATTTTTATTCTTATTCTGCTCTTAATATTCTTGGTTATCTTTGTTTAGAGGAATAATTTGTTTAAGCATTTGGGATTTGTTTGTTGTTGCATGTCATGTGGCTCCCCTGCTCTTTTGTGCCTGTGATTTTTTATGCAGGGTATCACGTGAAGCTAATCGACAAATAGGGAATAAGGTTGTTTTTGTCCTTGTAACGGTAAATTTAGCTTTGAGACACGGTAATTCCAACAGGACAAATTTTGAGGGTAAATTTTACTGTGGGATTCAACCCTTTTTTGTATTATTGTTACATGTTTAAAATATTCTGCCCGACAAGGGGGCAGATCAATCACTCTCTCTGCATTTTTTAGGTTGTCAATGGGGTCCATCAGCCACTATCACTTTTCTACGACTAATCAAAGTGTAGTTGTCACTTGCCCCATAATTCTTGGCTTCATCTCTCCATGTGTTGAAATTTTCTTTTCTTTCTTTCTTTTTTTTTATTTTTTATTATTTATTTATTTTTATTTTTTTTATATCAAGTCCGAAATAAACAACAATAAATAATAAAGTTATCATTAGAATAACTAACAAAATTAAAAGTTGAAGATATAATGTATACTTAAAATATGGTTATATAATTAAGAAAAAATTGTAGCTGAAACCCCAAACCTTTGAAACACTAGTAGATTTTTTCCAAATATTTGATTTGTGCAACCGTCACCCCTAACTTTTCCAAATATTGCATGTGAGGTCATTTTGGACGATTTTCATCCAAAATTTCGTGAGTTAACCAAAAAAATTATTTTCACCACATTTTAACAATTTTTAGAGAGGCAAAATGGTAACTTTGCATTAACATCAAAAATTAAAAAATAAAAGTAATCTTCTTCTTTCCCAACCCACCCAACCACCCCTCACCCATTCCCACTCAGCGTCCTCATCCTCATCATCCGACTCAAGCCTCTGATTCTCTTCAGTGTCCTCAACCTCATCATCCGACTCAAGCCTCTCATTCCCCTCTGCGTCAATCTTATCCAAGTACTTTAAAGAGCTAATCAACTCAAAAGCCCGCGACCTATAGTCCTTAACCCAAGTAACCGGGCACTCATAAAGATCCAGTGACACGAGCCTAAGCTCCGCCAAAGACTTCAAATCATTAACATCCGAAATCCTGTTATTTGACAAATCAAGGTCTTGGAGAAATTCCAACCCCGCCTCAACAAGGAATTCAAGGCCTCTAGCAATCCTATGTAAAAATTCAGCTCGACTATATATAGGAAACTCTGATTACTTGACATTATGAGATTTTGGTGCAGTCTGCATTGGGGGTGGTTTTGGGTGGCATGGGGTAGCAAATGTTTCGGGTGTTGGTGGGTGAGGGATTGGTGGGTTGGGGAAGAAGACCACTTTTATTTTTTGATTTTTGATTCTAATGCAAAGTTACTATTTTGCCCCTCTAAAATTGTAAAAATGTGGTCAAAATAATTTTTTTGGTCAACTCATGAAATTTTGGATGAAAACCGTCCAAAAGTGCCTCACATGCAATGTTTGGAAAGGTTAGGGGTGACGGTTATAACAAATCAAAGGTTTGGGGAATAGTCTGCTAGTGTTTCAAAGGTTTGAGGCTTCTGCTGCAATTATCCCTATAATTAATCAACACGGGTTTCTATCTCCAACTTAAATAAAGCATCTTTCTTTCTTTTCCCCAACTTACCTAAGCACCTTAATGATGAAATCATTTTTGGATTCTTAGGCACTTTGTATTTCAGTAATGAAGTCAACTTGAACTCAAGATAGCGATGGCAAAATATATTTTCATGTCACAATACCCCCTTAATGTTTGCATGTTGTTGGAATACCCCATAACTTTTCATTTTGGAGCAAAATCTCCTTATATCGTCCAAGCGTTACGAAATAAACCCTACAATCTAAGTCCATAATTTTAGGCGTTAAATATAATAAAGAAAGCCAAAATCAGTAAAACCCCAAAGGGCAAATCCGTGTGACTACATCCTCTCTCTCCTTAAGGCACTATTTGTTTGAAAAAAACGAAGGAGGAAGAAACCAACTATAGTAAATTGAAAATAGCCACTACCAACACTTTTACGGTTAAGTCTATCGCACTAGACTTGCCCAGAGATTGCTTGAGAGTGATTTTGAGAATTGATTTTTTGACCGGTAGGAGAAAAGTGGAATTCACCTATGAGAGAAGAAGTCAAATATGACGGCTAAAATAGTGAAATAACGCTCAAAAAATCAATTTTTTGGACCAAAAAATCACTCACAAACAAGCTGCTAGTGTAGTTTACTTAGCTGGCTTGATTTGCAAGCTATTTTGTTAGCCCGAGAGTTTACTCAGTGCGCACCGAAAGGGTAGCGGTTGCGAGTTCTCTCGCCATTTAAAAAAAAATGCCACTAATATAAACTCCAAACTGGTACCTTCATCACCATCATCCAGTCAAGATTTGAAATCATAAAAACTGAGCTTCCTTTCTCTTCCCCTCAAATTTCTGTTTGTGATATGCTTGTTCTTTCTTTCTTTCTTTCTTTCTACCTTTTTTTTTTTTATGTTTTTGGTTTAGAGAAAAGTAACATTTATAAATGTATCCGTTGAATATTTTTTATCATGGAATGGCTGAATGTTTACTAGATTATCTACGCTTTGAAGTTTTTTTTAACTAGAAATAGATGTTCTCTCCACCACCTTACCCTTGAGATAAACATTTTTGCAATTCATTCTGTAATATATATATATTTAAAACGGTAAATTTAGCTTTGAGACACAATAAATCCCGCAGCACAAATTTTGAGGGTAAGTTTTACTGTGGAACTCTAACCTATCGTATATCATTTAGTGGTGGCAATGGGCCGAGCCGAGTCAAGCCGACTCGGCTCACGCTCGTGGCGAGCCGAGCTTGGTTGATTTTGGGCAAGCTCGTGGGCCGAGCCAAGCTTTGGCTCACGAGCTCGTCCTTTTTTTTTTAAATAGAGAAAAATACAAATAATGTAATGAAAATACTTTTAAAAAAAATAAAAAATGTTAAAAAATACAAATAATTTAATGAAGACATTTTTTTCTTCTTTTATTTATATCATATTGTAATATTTTTTATAAAGTATAAAATATTTATATAATGAAGACGAATTTTTTTTTGAAATACATTTATAAAAAATATTTTTTTTATTTTTTTTAAAGTAGATAAAATGTAAACACTCCTCCTTTATCCGAGTTTGGAATCGACTACATCAATTTTAAGTAGACGGAATTAAAAATTGCACACGAATAACTTGCTGTAACGTGTATAAATTTTTAAAGAAAATTAAATTTAACGATAAAAAAATACGAAAATTTTGATTAATATAATTAAATCAAATATCACTTACCTGACAACATGCAATTTCAGTTTATTTATCTTGTAATCGAAAATGAGCATCCTGTCAATCTTTCACGCACATTAACGCTTCCAAAATATTTTTTTTTAGTAGGCTCCTGATATCAGTCAAAATCCTTTTACCTACACTAAAAGCAAACTCCGAAGCAACAGTGCTAACCGGAGGTGTCAGCTGATCTTTCGCAATTGCAAAAATAATTGGCTAACGTCTTTCATACTTTCGCCAGAATTCAATTACTTCTTCTGAATTTTTTTTAATTGTTCTGTTTGTTGGCATATTATGATTGAAGTAATCAATTAATTCGACAGACATCGCAATTTGAGTTGCGGTTGATGTTTGATGAGATGCAAATGTGGACGACATGGCACTAGATGAACACATTGCAGTTGCATCATATCTAAATGTATTAATACCTTGAAATAAATTTATTATTTCGGTATCATCTTCTTTAATTTCAGCTGAAGGAGTAGGTGTAAAAGGTACCCGACTAACATTCGCACCCATTCATTCCGCATATAAATCATACGTTCCACATAATATTTGCTCTAAATTCTTATAGATAATAGGTGTATCAAGTATTAAGCCTTTATTGATTTTATCAATTACGTATTTAGTTCCCGAAATATTATATCGGGAGTCTATTACGCATGCTAAAGGAAATAACATGGGCAGTTCTTCCCAATATTTTCTAAATTTTAATTCCATAGAAAATATAATTTCACTAAAAGCAGGATCATTTTTATATTTATGGAATGTTCTTGCAATTATATAAATGCGTTCAAGCACCATACAGCTTGTGAGATAATAAATGTCGAATAAAATTTACATAAAAATATGTCAAAAATCATTTAACTTTCAAAGCTAAAACCCAATCGGATTCATTCAACATATTATCGTCATCACTTCTAACGCATCTATTGTTATTAAAGTCAGTTATTAAATGTTTAAAACCTTCACATGACTTTAATAGTAAGTAAGTATAATTCCGTCTATAGCCTACGTCGCTAACAAATGTTTTAGCAATCGTTACCCTTAGTTCGGCACAAAAATCTTCAAATACTTGTTTTCTACTAGGAGAGATCGTAATATATACTAATATATTCCTAATCCTTTGAAGTTCATTCTTTATATATTTTAAACCATCTTACATAATTAAATTAAAGATATGGCACACACAACAAATATGAAACAAATACCCACCAAAATCAGGTTGAAGTGTCCTACACAATTTATCGACGACTACCTTATTAACACTAGCATCATCAAAAGTAAAAGACCAAATTTTAGTCTTGCAATTATATTCTCTAACAATAATGATAATAACATTATATATATTGTTAGCATTTGAGGAAACTCAATAATTCGAAAAGCAATAATTTTTTTATGCATGCACCAAACTGGATCTATATAGTGTGCGGTTACAGCTATATATGCTCTTTTATTAACTCCTTCCATATATCAGAAGTTAAAGATATAACACCCGCATATTGTTGCAAATCCATAATTAATTGTTATTTTAAATTATTGAAATATTATATTGTATCGGCACGAAGAGTGTTTCGACCTACCCCAACGTATCTTGGTTGTAGATATTCTTTCACGAACGAGACGAAGTGTTGGTTGTCTGCAATAGCCAGAGGCAACTCAGTGGCAGCAACAAATTTCACCATTCCGGTTTGAGTATTATTGTCCGAATACACCGACGCCTGGACTGTCAAATTACAATTGTGTTTTAACAGCTGGAAGAAGTTCATGTCTGCCCGCACATGTTTTGTAGTAGCGGTTGAGATGGGTAGTACCAATTCCTTTTTGCCATGCCAATCTTTGTTGGCAGCATTTACAAGCTACTTTAGATTTTGCAACACCATCGACAACTTTTCCCGTTGAAATCAACTTAAAGTGATCTCAACATTTTGCTTGTTTTTGCCATTTCACTTTCCCCTCGCATTTGGGATGTTTAATTCGACATCTTCGTCTTCGTATTTCACTTCGGGAACGTTAATATCATCCAAATCAATTAGATTGTGGCTTTCTTGACCATGAATGTAAACATCTTCAGGTATGGGTACGTCATTTAAACCGACAAATTCATTTGAAAATTGATTTTGCGGTGTCCTAGGCAATTCGCCATATGACCCACATCCCGTATCGAATAAGCTCTCAACAAATGAGCGTTGATCCATTTGTTTGATTGTTTATGATGAAATCCAAATATAATAACTAGAAAAATATAATTGTAGTGAGATTGTGAGAATTGGATGAATTGAAATTGTAACTGAATAAACTGTAAAAAAATGAATCGATATTGTATATTTTACAGCACAAGAGAGTAAAAACTCGATAATTGATATAATAAAATAGAGTTGAGAAATGAGAAGTAGTGATTGAGAGGAGATAATTGATATGAAAAAAAAAATGAGAGTTAAGGGGTATTTATAGTAAAAAGGAAAAAAATTAAAAAAATGAATTTCAGTGACCGTTTCGATCACTGAAAATTTTCAGCGACCAAACGGTCACCGAAAAAGTGACCAAAACGGTCACTTTTTTTAAAAAGTGACCATTTTGGTCACTATGTAGGCAAGCCACGAGCCGGTCTCAGCTCGCCTCCTGTCGAGGCTCTCTCGGCTCGGGCGCCCAATTTCGACGAGCTGAACGATCGAGCTGATTGACATCCCTAATATCATGGTTCAATTTTATCTAACAAAAAATGTTCATTTCAACACTTAATGCCACATAATGCTGATGAATGTTTCATGAACGTTAGAAAATTTTACCATATTCGAATTCCAAACGAAAGTTAAAGTCATCATTTACAGGGTGTTCTCAACTAAAATTTTAATAAATTTTAAAGGATTATAAATTCTAATGAATTTTGTGGATTTGAATAGAGTTTTACAAATTCTATAAGAATCTGATCAAATATGGTACATTTCAAAATATTTGCTTACATGTATTATTAAGCTTGAAATCCATTCAAACCTTTTTAAATCCTTCTATTAATGAAATCTTTTTAAATCCACTAATTATTGAGGATACCTAAATTTTAAAGAATTTCATTAAAATCTCAATTAGAGATATATAAATTTAGAATGACTTTTAAAATTCATCACAATCTCAATTGATATTTAATGTCATGCATTTCACTAATGATAAATAGTATTTCGATCCACAATAGCCTCCTACCTTTCTATCCCTCAAAATGAGAAATAAACTTCTAACTCTTTCTGATCATTACTTCTATTTCTCTCCTTGTTAACCTAATGTGTTCCCTCATTATCTATTTCATTGATGGTTCAAATCATGTTTAATTTGCATTTTATCTCTTTTGTCCATTTTAAATTTGGCTATGTTTAGAAGAATCTTACATGAAATTGACTCGAAATGGAGGTTTTGGTCCAGTTATAAAATAACAAAATTAAGAACAAAATATAGAATCTAAAATCGACTGCGTTTGGCTCGGTTATTGCTCCTTGAACTATAATTGTAGTTATTTGAACAGAACCGATTTTTTATATAATTTTTTTATTTTTTTATAGTTTATAGGCTAGGTTAAAAATATTTGCAAAAAGTTATTAACTCAAACACTAAGTAGGCCGTGGATCTAAGCCGGGTTGCTGGTTACAAAAATATAAATAAATAAATAAAAATCTACCCAACACAAACCAAAAAACTCTAATTTTGGCAATAATTTATCTAAAACTATATAATCTAAATACCTACAAGGAATAAAATTGCAAAGTCTCATTTGTCACATCGTAGTCTCGTGTTCCCTAAGCTTTTTGTTTGTCACATGGGTTAAGCTTATAACATCTTTGTAATTTGGACTTTATATAAATAAAAACGTTCAAGGTAGGGTTGTGGTGTAAGTTTATGGGTCACAGCGTTCAATTGTTCAATCTTCGGAATTTGAGCCTTTAATTTTCTAGCAATGTTGTTTACAAATTTAAGTGATTTTTTTATAGCGTGTAACAATTAAAATTTATATATTCATAGCTTGGGTCATGGCTTACTTTTTTGGTTATTTTGAGTTCGTAATTATCTTTTGAAACGTAAGTTTTCTTGATACTATATGCTTATATATCTAATTAGTACTTTTTCTGTCAATTCATTTTAAGAGTAGAAGAATTTTAGCATTGTCCATCATAAATTATAGACTCTAGCATACCTCACCTATAGATCAAATGAGATTTATATTGAGAAAAAAGCATTTGTTTCTTAAACTGTAATTTAGTTCTTGATCTTACAATTGTAACGTCCTGAATATTTTTTCACCCAAATACTTATAATAATTTATTATTATTATTATTATTATTATTATTATTATTATTATTATTATTATTATTATTATTTTATTTGGGCCAAATATTTAGATTTCCATAGGGCGGAAACATGTATATCAATATGGAGCTTGTTGGATAGCTTGTAATTAATTATGTATATTATGTTCGAGAAAAAATTTAATCGGATAAGTTAGACCCAAGATATTATAATTTATAGAAATTGTTATTGTTTGGTAATATATATACACACACTTATATTATAACTAATTTGGGAGTAAGGCCGCCCCCAGGGCATAGTCCAGTGGTGCAAAAGATAGGAGTGAGGTTATCTTACGCTTTGCTGGCAGCCGCAGTGTGGGAGTTCGATTTCTGAGAGATGAAATTTGACTCCTTGTAGGGGCAGTGTACAGACAGCTCTTGTTCCCTGACCTGTTGGGACACATTCCGCGATTTACCCCCCTCATAAAACTTTAGGGGCGGGGCGATGAGGGCCCTCAAAGTTGGGGTTCAACCCTTTATTTATTTATTTATTTTAATTTGGGAGTAAGGCCACTTTTGGTTCAAATGGGAAAATGTGATTTTGAATAGTATTTGATTTTCTAAAAGTTGATATGATTGGTTGCCATGGGTTGTTGGGGATAAGAGATTATTTCTATTTCTATTTCTATTTGGGATAAAGATTTTAGTACTTTGATATTTTAAAACACGTCCCCTTGCAAACTTTTAAACCTATTGAAATTCTATTGTCTCTTTTAATTTAAATACTGTACAAGAGTTTTATTATTTGCACAATAAAATATACAGATACACATGCACACAACAGATAAGTAGAAAATAGAGATTTGGAACGTAAATTTTTGTTTTGTTTTCCAAAATTAAAGCAAGTTAACAAGGTAGGATGTCGAGGTGTAGTGTATTCTATCACGTTAATTTTTTTTTCTTTTTATGTTGATAAATTTTGTACTCATGAAAGCTAAAGATATGATATGAACGATGTGATCATTTCGGTACAAATGATATAATATGATATGAGCTCTTACCGGTTTCTAAATATATGAAGCGGTATGATTTTCTGATGCGAGTTTTAAAATTTTTACTCAAAATTGCACCATTAATTTTTATGTCTTATTGAATATTTTCATGTACTCAATATTTTCTCTACTTCTTACAGATTAGACCGGGTCGTTGGTCAGCGGGTGATGCAGTGGAATCGTTGTGCCAGAATTCATGTAACTCAATAAAAAAATAATTCCAGAGTAACGTGACCAAAGATTTTATTTTTAGCATTATTTTAGTTTTTATTTTCATGTCAAACTTGTTATTTAGGATTTGATGTATGTTTCAATTGATTATGTTTCATAGATATTTAATTATTTTATTGATGGGACTAAAAAAATTTAATATTGGGATGTTTACATAATTTATTTAATTATGGAATGAAAGTTTTAGCAACGATCTAAATTGTTAAAATTTGGATCGTTACAATAATTTTCTTCCCTTCTCTTAGTTTTTAGTCTTTACTATTTTAAGTCATGTACCTAGATTTTTAGCTTTTTTTTTTTTTTTGCCTTTCACAAAAGTCATCAGTTAGTAGCATGTTACATATACGTATTAAAATAGTCTATGTGGAAATGTTTATTGAATGTGTATTCAAAAAAATGTTATGATAGAACGATTTGGTTACAATAATTGCAAGGGTCCAAATGGTTCTATTTACAAAGTACTTGAAGTGTAATGAATAGTTCTAAAGTATTGAAATACTCGCACCTATCCAACGGATGCTCAAACATATTGTTACATGTTTAAAATATTCTTCCCGACAAGTGGGCAGATCAATCACTCTCTCTGCATTTTTTTTTTTTTTTTTGTTTTCAATGGTGTCCATCGGCCACTGTCACTTTTCTATCACTTGCCCCATAATTTTGGAAATGTCTGTGTACAGTCCTTGTACACTTCTATAAGGATTGTACATTTACAGCCCCCTCACATGAGAGGGCCCCACAATAATTGTGGTGGCTGTGAGGCTTGGTGTAGCACTGCTCCATAATTCTTGGCTGGCTTCATCTCTCCTTGTGTTGAATTTTCTTTTCTTTTCTTTTTATTTATTTATTTATTTATTTATTTATATCTTTACTTTATCTATTATATCAAGTTCAAAACAAACAACAATAAATAATAAAGTTATCATTAGAATAACTAACAAAAATAAAAGTTGCAATCATGCTACTTGTACAATGTATTTTACAACTTGATTTACAATATATGACTTGGCAAACATCACGTCCATCTATTTGAAAAATTGTTTTTAAAATCAAAGTCCAGGATTTTTTCAACACACGTATTGTCAATCAAGTTGTGCAAATACATTGTACAAGTGGCTTTATTCAATTACCTAAGCATCTTAATAATGAAATAATTTTTGGATTCTTAGGAACTTTGTGTTTGAGTCATGAAGTCAACTTCAACTCAAGATAGTGATGGCAAAATATGTTGTCATGTTCTCAAATCTCTGAACTCATCTTAAATCTTTTTATTTTATTTTAAGCTAATTGGTATAATATCCCCTTAATGTTTGCATGTTTTTGTAATACCCCATAACTTTTAATTTTGGAGCAAAATCTCCTTATATCATTTGAGCGTTGCGAGATAACCCCTACAGTCTAAGTCCATAAGTTTAGGCGTTAAAGTTAAGAGCCAAAATCAGTAAAACCCCAAAGGGCAAATCCGTGTGTCTACATCCTTTCTCTCCTTAAGGCACTATTTGGTTTAAAAATAAAAAGATACGGTATTTTTCTGACTTATAAGTACAAGAAGGTTATTTAGCCCTTGTTTGAGCCCCATTCTTTTCATAAGAATGAATTTTTGAATAGCATATTGATGAAAATTGTGTAATTAAAAAATAAGGAAATGTTTTGAATTTGCGTGTAATATTATTTTATTAAAGAATGTGGTAGAAATATTGTCAAATCACTGTTGAAGAATGTATTTTTTTTTTCAAATAATGTGATTCTAACAAGGCCCATATTTCTATGTCTGTCAATTGCGTTATAGTACGAAGACTTGTTCAAAGTTTTCTAATATATTCAATGAACTTTTCAACCATTAGAAGAAAAATGCTAACGAAGTCTTCTAATACAACATCATTCGTTTATGTAGAGAATCATACGAAGAATGTGATGATCAATAGAGAATTCGTTACTCTTTAATAGTAAGAGATAATGATCTATGTTTTATTCAGTTAAGTAGATAACAAAATCCTTATCCACGGTGTGTTCACAAGTCAAAAAGATTTTTCGACTAATATCGACTTAGGAATGGAATGATAGATATAATCGATAATCGAGATTGACACATTCATATCTCGTAATGAATCTGATTATATTTATGAAAATGATTATATTTCATGGTAAATTTACAAGTTTGATTTTATCATACCATATGACACTTATTGTCTCATGCAGTACCCCGAGACATTACTAGATATCAATTTGAGACAATGAATATGAATTAATTAATCTATGTGAATTGGTGATAAATTAAAAGTATTTTAGTTTATCTCATTTTGATTAAATCAAAATATTAGTTCATGTCGTTAGGTATCGTGATTAGAAACCTAATGGTCACACACACAAAATGAGAACTAAAAGAATGATATTAATAATTAATTAGCTGACAAGTATCGGATATTTGTGGAATTAATTAGATTAATTAACTTATTTGCAAAGTTTAATTAATTGGAATAATAAAATATTGGGTCGACATGTTTAATGGGTGGGTCAAGCCCACACAAACATCTATTAATAACCTGTTAGGATTTGAGAGAGTGGAAATTACAGGAAACCTAGAGTTAAAATCTAGGGTTCAAAAATCAGATCCAATGTTTGTATATTCACAAATTAGATATTAATTTAATTATTATTAATCAATATATTAATAATATTATTATTATTATATAAATTAATTTTAAATACAAACCCTATTGTAACCCATTAAACGACCAAATCATTCTCTCCTCTCTGATCACTCTCCACCACTTGTCTTTACCATCAAATCATCACCGTCGGGGATGCTGCTGCAAAAACTCCTCTTGTGTGAGCCCTGCGACGGCGAGTAGCAGCGCATGATGTGATGCGACATCACCGCTGTTGTGTCGTCGCAGCTCGGCGATGGAAACGTTGAGAGTGGATTCAGCCAAGTCGGTGATGATGGCTGCTCTATAGTTGGTTGGTGCAGGTTGTGGTGGATTTGGTGGCAACGTTGTGTGGTGGTTGGTTGGGCAAATGGCTATCGGCGATTTGAAGAATATTGGAGCGACAACCGGAGAGGTGTGTTGATGAGGATGATAGATCTGTCGGCGAGGCATGTTGATGGGATTGTTTATGAGGATGACAGATCTGTGTAGAAGCTGGTGCCGACTAGGTGAAGAATGTTGGTGGTGGAATGGGGTGACCGATGGCGAGTTCCTGATTGGTTGGGTGTGGGTGGATATAGTTTTACAAGTGGTAGTGTAATGGTGATCCTCTTGGTGGTGCAAATGGTAGTGGTGGTGGCGGTAATGGTGATAGTGTGTGTGGTAGCGATCTGGTGTTTGTGTGGCGGCAATCTGATGGAGGAGTTTGTGTGGCAGTGATGGTTGTGATCTGTGGAGGTGTGTGGTGTTGTGGATATATTAGCCATCTGTGGAAGAGTGTGGTGTTGGTATGTGGCAGCGACGGTGGTGGTGATGATTTGGGGCAGTTGGGGTGGTTGTGAACCATGACTGTGACTCCTAACTGTGGTGTTGGTCTGTGGCGACGACCGTGGTGGCGATGAAAATTGTTACTGTGACCGTGATTCTCAATTGTGACTCACAATTGGATATGTGACCCGAAAATTGTGACTGTGACTCGTAAGTGTTGGTGGTGGTTACAAATTATTTGGTTGACTGTGACCATTAAATTGGTTAATTTGTAGTCAATAAATAATATATGACCAACAAAAAAGATAAATTGTGAACGAAAAATAATGTGTAACCTAAAAAATTGTTAATCTGTGACCAATAATTTGATAATTTATGACTGTGTAATAAGTTGTGACTTATAATATATGTTGTTTGTGACTAATAAGCAAATCGTGACTTATAAATTTTTTGATTTGTAACCGATGAACAAACTGTAACCTATAAAATTTTTGAATTGTGACCGTAAAATAATTTGTAACATAAAATTTCTGATTTGTGATCAAAAAATAATAAATGATGAATTAAATCGTTAATTTGTGACCAAATTATTTAAATCTGTGACTTAAATATATTTAATTATTAAATTATAAATAATTTTTAATAAAAATTTGATTTTTGAAATTTGAAACTTGTTTTATTACTTTTGAAATGGGTATTAGTTATGGAATTTTCCCTTAAGCTTTTCTTTGAAGTTCAATTTTAGCATCCAATGATCGAGACGTCAATTATGTCATAAAGGGCCCATGGGCTTAGACCGACCAGTTTCTGCCCAGCAGGAAAATGTTGAGCCCGAATTGGGCTTATCCGAGTCACCCTTTTCATTTCTTTTGTGTTTTTAATAGTTTCAGTGGATTTTTTTTTTCTTACAAAAAAACTGATAAATCATGTCATATTCGGAAATTAGTTGAAATTTTCATTTTTGCCATAAACTAAAGCAAAAAAAATAGAAAATCAATAAAATTGTAAATATTTTATTTAGAGTTGAAACCCTATATAATTATATATAACAAACTAGAGAGAAAAATTTTTTCTCATTTACTCCAACAGAGTAAGTTTTCTTGATACTATATGCTTATATATCTAATTACTGTCTTCTTCATTTTTATTTTTATTATTATTATTATTTTTTTTTTTTGTCAATTCATTTTAAGAGTAAAAGAATTTTAGCATTGTCCATCATAAATTATAGGCTCTAGCATTCCTCACCTATAGATCAAATGAGATTTATTTAGAAAAAGGCATTTGTTTCTTAAACTGTAATTTAGTTCTTGATGTTTTAATTTTCTTCCCTTCTCTTAGTTTTTAGTCTTTACTATTTTAAGTCATGGAATTGGATTTTTAGCTGATTTTTTTTTTTTTTTTTGCCTTTCACAAATGTCGTCAAGTAGTAGCGTGTTACTTGTACATATTAAAACGGTCTATGTGGAAATGTTTATTAAATGTGTATTTAAAAAAAAATGTTATGGTAGAATGATTTGGTTACAATAATTGCAAGGGTCGGAATGGTTCTATTTAAAAAGTACTTGAAGTATAATGAACGGTTTTGAATATTGAAATACTAGCACCTATCCACCGGATGCCCAAACGTATTCTCACATGTTTAAAATATTCTTCCCAACGATTGGGCCGATCAATTTCTCTCTCTTTATTATTTTGGTTTTCCCTTTTTTTACGTAATGTGGTCCATCAGCCACTGTCACTTTTCTATGACTAATCAAAGTGTAGTTGTCATTTGCCCCATAATTCTTGGCTGGCTTCATCTCTCCTTGTGCTGAATTTATTTTTTTATTTTTATTATTATTTTTTTAACAACCTATCTCCTCACTTTAGCTATTATATCAAGTCCGAAATAAACAACGATAAATAATAAAGTTATCATTAGAATAACTAACAAAATTAAAAGTTGAAGATATAATGTATACTTAAAATATGGTTATATAATTAATCAACACTGGTTTCTATCTCCAACTCAAATAAAGCAGCTTTCTTTCTTTTTCCCCCCAACTTGCATAAGCAACTTAATGATGAAATAATTTTTGGATTCTTAGGTACTTTGTATTTGAGTCATGAAGTCAACTTCAACTCAAGATAGTGATGGCAAAATATGTTGTCATGTCCTCAAGTCTCTAAACTCATCTTGAGTGGATGTTTGGAAAGGATTAAAATTAGATTGTTTAATAAATTATAATAGAAGTTTTTGAAATGTAAAGTTAAAAAGTTGTGGAACTCATGAAAGAAGAAGTTAATATTGATTGTCGGACTTTGACTTAGATTAAAATTAGATTTCAATCCATACCAAACATGTTCTAAATCTTTTTATTTTATTTTATGATAATTGGCACAATACCCCCCTTAATGTTTGCATGTTTTTGGAATACCCCATAACTTTTCATTTTGGGGCAAAATCTCCTTATATCGTCCAAGGGTTGCGAAATAACCCCAACAGTCTAAGTCTATAAGTTTAGGCATTAAAAATAATAAAGAGAGCCAAAATCAGTAAAACCCCAGAGAGCAAATCCGTGTGACTACATCCTTTATCTCCTTAAGGCACTATTTGTTTGAAAAAAACAAAGGAGAAGAAACCAACTGTAGTAAATTGAAAACAGCCACTAATATAAACTCGGCTTACATAGTTACGTAACAAAATTTTAACTTTCTCTTCCCCTCAAATTTTAGTTTTTGATATGCTTGTTCTTTCTTTCTTTCTACCTTTTTTTTTTTGGTTTAGAGAAAAGTAACATTTATAAATGTATCCATTGAATATTTTTCCTAATGGACGGCTGAATGTTATCTACGGCGTCAGGCGCCCCCCAATAGAGGGGTGCCACACAATCCCCTGGACAACCAGGGTCACACTAGCATAGCCGATTTATGTCTGCCAATTGCATTAGAGTACGAAGACTTGTTCGAAGTCTTCTAAAATATCCAATGGACTTTTCGCTATTTGTATTCTTTAAATACTGGCTGACAACAGCCTTCATTGGATTCATTTATAAATATGATAAATCTTAACAGGTTCTCGCAGTAGTGTAGGAGATGGAGATATTGGAAAATATGCTTTTTGAAGCAGCAGCTGAAGGAAATGTGAATTCTTTGGAGAAGCTGCTTCAAGAAGATCCAATAATTCTTGATAGAGTTATAGTTAATAGTTTCTCCGATAGTCTTATACACGTAGCAGCAATATTAGGACATAGCGATTTCGTGAAGGAAATCTTAAGACGAAGGCCTGAATTTGCAGGAGAATTGAATTTATGTCAATCATCGCCTCTTCATTTGGCATCAGCTAAAGGTTATATCGAGGTAGTTAGAGTGTTGTTATCAGCTAATCCTCTAATGTGCCTAGCTCGCGATAGAAATGGGCTGACGCCTCTCCATTTGGCAGCCATCAAAGGTCGGATTGAAGTCGTGAAAGAGTTGGTTCAAGCAAAAAGTGATGCAACTCGAGTGATCGTGGGTCAAGGGCAGACTATTTTGCATTTGTGTGTGAAGTACTATCAGATTGAGGCCTTAAGGCACTTGGTGAATACCATTAGAGACCGAGATTTCACAAATTGTAAAGATAGTGATGGAAACACTATCTTACACTTGGCAGTAGCTGATAAACAAGTTGAGGTATTCCAATAGCTCTATTTTCATACTTGAATTCAACCGAACCCTTTTTCTTCATTTTAATTTTGAGAAACAACCAAACTATTCGTGTTAGATGCTTATAAATGGAATTAACCATTTGGTAGGGAGGATTTAGAATCGAAAACAAAAGAGAAGCTATAATATTCTTTTGTATACTGTTAAAATATTGTATACCAAACACATACTAAATATTTTGAAATATTTGCAGACAGTTAACTATTTGCTTATGGAGTCGGCAATAGAAGTTAATGCTCAAAATCTTCGAGGGATGACAGCAATGGATGTTCTGATCCGTAGTCGAACAGATTTGAGGGACGAAGAAATTAAAGAATCTTTGAAACATGCTGGAGCATTTGGATCAACGGAAAACAATTCATTAGTCCAAATTAATCATAGCACAACTAGTCCAGGCTTGAATTTGTCCTTCGAACACCAAGATCGGTCCTTAAACATGAAAAAGAATAGTAGAAAAACGATGTTTAGTCAGAATGTTGGTTGGTTGGAGAAAAAACGAAGTGCATTAATGGTAGTTGCTTCTTTGATTGCAACCATGACATTTCAAGTTGGAGTCAACCCTCCAGGTGGAGTATGGGAGAATAATTATAAGCTTAACTCACGAGGTAAACCCTTAGGACCTCAGTCTCACAAGGTCGGAGAATCAATTTTCGGCCATAAATATCCGATAGTATACAAAATATTCTTGATTGCTAATACAACAGGACTCATTGCATCACTCAGTATCATATTATTGTTGATGAGTGGCTTACCTTTAAGGAGGAGAATATTTATGTGGATTTTGATGGTGATCACTTGGATTGCAATTACAGCAGTTGCATTGACTTATTTCTTATCAATAATTGCATTATCACCAGAGAAAGAAGAACATTCAATTTTTATTTTGATTGGGTTCTCAAGTTTTATATGGTTTTGCCTCTTGGTTTTCTTACTTATGGGACACACAATTCGGTTGATAATTAGGATGGTACGTAAATTAATAAAATGTTTGAGCCCGAAAGAAAGGATTCAGGGTTCGGGAGTTACAAGTCATAGCACTATTTAAGGTGTTGTTATGTTATGTTTAGTAAGTTGGAGAGTACAATATTGTATGTACTAAAACTGAAATTGAAAGTAAAGCCTTGCTTATTATAGTGTCTGAAAAATGCCTTTAACGTTTGCACTATAAATATTAAATGTATGACTACATTATAATTTTGTTCCATTTATTGCCTATTAGATAAGGTCTGTGTAATACACAAATATAACCTTATGCTATTTCTTTAATAGTGTATAATTTCTCCCCATGTGTTCGGTCATCTTGATTAAAAACTTTAGCTACTGGAGAATGATCACACTTGGTAGTTATTTAACAAACTTTCTTTTAATACATGGATAGAGGCAACCATGTGGATGCATGAGTTGAGCGACCGCACAGAGCAAGGAAAAGGATTATTGTATTTCTTTTAACATTATTGTATTTCTTATTCCTAATTGCGTATCATACCAAGATACTTTTATTAAAGCAAAGGAAAGGATTCACATGGTTTAGGCTCCTTCGTAGCTAATTTCAATGTGTTGTGCTTAACAATTTTCATTTATGGATTATTTTTTTATTAACTGCAGGCATTTGGTGTGGTATGATATGCTATAGCGAAGATACTAGAGCTAAGAATAATGTTACTGACTAGTTATAATTTTCTTAAATAGTATCCCACCTTAGGAAAAAGTATCACGTCTTAAATATAATTTTCTTGATTTTGAAAATTTATGATTTTGTTTCATTATCATTGCTTTATGACATGTGGATATTTCTAATGCCCAATAAAAGGGTTGATTGCTTTTATACAGGGAATCATCATTCCGTGATGTGGTAATATAGCTAAAGAAATTGCCATTTAAATGAAAATTGTTCCTTTATTTCAAGTGAAATGTATATTTCGTAGGAAGAAACATTTTGATGGAAATGCCACTATAGAAATGCACAATAGCCTAAAAATTATTTCATTTATATCTTTAATAGTAGATCAAGCAATTCGACCACTTGAACGAATGATTGATCAATTTAATTCAAATGAAAAAAATGGGTTTCTAGTTTATTACAAGTTAAACTCATTGGATGATGCTAATTTGAAAGTATGTTTTGATCATTTTGATATTATTCTAAAACATGTATGCGATCTTTTTGAAGAAGGTTTGTGTCAAATGTTAAAAATTTTGCAAAATCTCTTACCAAAAGAAAGAAAGATAGTTCTTGATATATTAAATTATTCGAAAAGATTGAATTCCTTTCCGAATATATTTAATTCTTATAAAATATTATTGACAATTCTGATTATTGTTGCATTTGTTAAAAGAAGTTTTTTAAAATTGAAATTATTAAAATATTATTTGCGATCAACCATGTTACAAGATCGATTGAATGGCTTAGCTTTGATATCTATTGAGTATGATTTGCTAGAATATATTGATCATTGTGAAAGTTTAATTAGTGAGTTTGCTTCAAAAAATACGAGAATAAATATTTTTACATAATTTGTTGTATTTCAAGGTTCACACGTGATATTTACTATTTTTTTATTTTAAGGTTCACTTATATGAAATTCCACAAAAAAGTTTATTGGAATGGATGTTTCTTTGTTGATGATATATGAATTTTGATGAAGCTTGGGAGATGCTTTTGGGCTTTAATTGTACTTTCTTATTCACGACATGTAAAAAAAAGAACAATTATTTAAATATTTTATTTTTACAATAAAATAATATTATTGAAATATTTTTTTCTTAATATATTTTTTGAGTCTAGGTCTTTTATCATATTAAATCACCCATTTAAAAGTTTAAACTTTTAGAAGGTGGTTCAACAATAAAACATCACACTTCTAACTTGAAGATTTTGCACTTGAAATTGAAGATCAATATCTCTTGCTCATTAATGTTCTGGGTTATATTTTTTTATTATCCTTCTTGCAATTTATATAAAATCATGCTAGGCTAGTTCCTTGTTTGTATTGGATGAAAACGGACACCCTATTTGTTTTTATTCAAGACAATTAGTTTAATAATTCTTGTTTTTCTTGATTAATCTTGCATTCTCATTGCGTTATTTAATTGCTTAGCATTGCTTAGATAATTAATTGCTTCTTATAATGGTGAAAAGTACACAATTAAGCTTAGAATGCTGCAAGGTTAACATACAGTCAACACATGTTAAAAATAAAATATATTGCGTGTGCAATTATTTAGATAATCGTAAAATTGAATTCATTCTACCCATTTGAATTCAGACATGAAAAGGATGGGATCGTGATGCGAACCCACGTAACAATAGTCGCTACGAAACACACACGAAATTTAATCGAGCCCAAGAAAGTAAATAAATCAAGGTTTTGAGTTTGATTCAAAAATATTGAATCAAGTAACCAACACAATCGTCGACAATATGTTGACCCCTTTAATTACAAGACTCAAGAATCACACCCAAATTGTTTGAACGCCGCTAGAAATAATTCTTGATAAGTTTGAAATTTGTTCAATGAAGAACAAGGAATTGAAAGCAAAATATACTCACAAAGTTAATTTCTCAATTGATATGAACAAAAAAAATTTTCGATGTAGAATAATGAGTCCTATATATAGGAATCCCATAAAACCCTATTCTAAATGGAATTAAAGTTTAAAGGATACAAAAGTTAACAAAATAATGAATTTTAACGTAATTAGGAAAACTCGCGAAATTGGAATTTGCGCCCTCAAAATGTACTATGCGGCCGTAGAGTACATTGCAATGAGGTCACATATAAGATAGTTTCTGCCTAGTTAAAGTTTCTGCTAGCTTCTATGTGGTCGCATAATTGTCTATCTTCCGCTCTTTCATCCTTTGCCTGAATTGCTTTGAACCAACGGGCTTCCACTCCTTAGCTCAACATGAAACTAGCTCTTTCACATGTTAACGACAACTTCTTGGACTCCGTGACTTGAACAAGTGATTGCATGGCTTTATTGACTTTGATTAATCTTGAACTTGCCCTTTGCCTCTCCTCAATAAATATCAAACTCTTGACAGCCTATTGCCTTCCTCGGATCACGTCAAATCATGTATAAATTATATTTAATTTATCTTGGAAAAATATTAAATATCACAACATTATTGTTTGTCAAGAATGCATGAATATTGGAATACAAGATAGCAATAGATGGATTGAAAATTCAATACAATTATCCATTCATTTATACAAACAAATGCATTTACATATTTCGCAGAATAAATAACAAAATCATATCTTTTGTGTTATATAATTCAGATTCGATACAAAATTAGTGCACTTGAATTAAAATTTATTTCTTTAACTTGTCGACGATTTCGTACGTTTGTGAAAAATGTCCGAACATTTCACATTATAATTCTGAAAAAAAAAAAAGGAGCCAAAATAAATCTCCATTGTATCATTAGAAATTCTTTCAGGAATTTATTGGAATTGAATTCATTTATATATCAATCTTAATATTAATGATGCAAAATATACCAAGATGCTACAACCGACCTCAAGTCCTACTTTCAGTGACCTATTCCAGGCTTTGTCAAACTCGGTCTCATTATAAAGAAAACAATCTACCTGAACTTGACTTAATAAAGTTGCAAGGAAATTGATAAGAATAAAAAAGAGCAATGGGCTATCGGTAACTAATAATCGTGTCATATCAAATTTGATTTGATTACAAAAGATAAGGCTTTTTAAATTTGCGAGCTGTTCAATATTAGGTATATTTTTTGGTAATTTCTATTAAAATTGACCATTTTCATAACAGGTAATTATATTCGTATTATAATTTTAGTTGCTGCATCATATTTTAATGATAATGAGGGTTCTTAACATTTGCTTATCGTTTGAAAAATAGTTGGGAATTTGTATACTTAATCTTCCTTTAATTAGCATATGTTGTCATTGATGACAATAGATACATTGGAAGTCATAAAGAAAACTTATATGTCCATTTTATATTGAAAAAAAAAAAGTATTTTGATTAAAAATTTCTTTTACTTCAGAGCTCATTAACATACTATTAACACAAAGTGCATATTGCCTTGGCATGATCAACGTAGTACGTCATTCAAGAAGTAGACAGACTTGGCAATATAATTTCAAAAAACTATTCCTTATAGGATTGCCAAGAAGTCCTAATAGATCACCCGTAAGAAATTTAACAACAGCAAGATGAAAATTTAGGGTCTAAGAAGTCCATCTGAAGAGACATTGATAGGTCCCAGTCAAATGCACAAAAAATTAGGAAAAAATAATTCTCTTCGGGTGAGAATTGTACCATAATTAGAACTTTTTTGGATAAATATTTCTCTGCCTTTTATTGAAACTGAAATGGTGGTTTATATAGGGAAAATCACGTTCAAATTACATGCAAGAATAAAGGGAAAGTTCCTAAGAAATAGCTAACAGAAGGATAATGCAAAACAAACTATTAGAACGTGCAAAACAGGAAATGAGAACAGGGAAATAAAAATGATGGATTTTCTCAACAGCACAAAGTCTTATTCTTGAGAACACATGGGGTTAGAGAAAACGACTATGAGCTGTTGAGAAAATCCAGCATTTTTTCTTTCGTTTTTTCTGGATAAATATTTCTTTGACTTTTATTGAAGCTGAAATTGTGGTTTGTATAGGGAAAATCACGTTCAAATTATATGCAAGAATAAAGGGAAAGTTTCTAAAAAATAGCCAACAAAAGGATAATGGAAAACAGATTGCTAGAACGTGCAAAACAGGAAATAAGAACAGGGAAATAAAAATGCTGGATTTTCTCAACAGCTCATAGTCTTATTCTTGAGAGCACGTGGGGTTAGAGAATAAGACTATGAAATGTTGAGAAAATCCGACATTTTTTCTTTTTTTTTCTGGATAAATATTTCTTTGACATTTAGGGTGTGTTTGATTACATTTATTTTCCATGGAAAATATCAGTTTTCCATCCAAATTCCTGCTTGAAGTGTTTGATTGCTATTTCTTTCCATGGAAAACATTTTCCGCCTTTTGAAAATATGCCTAATTTTTCTTGTTTTTAAGGAAAATATTTTCTTTGGGTAGAGGTGGTTTTTATTTTCCACAAAAGATGGAAAATATTTTCTTTTCTAGGTGATATTTTCCATGTCAATCAAACACACTCTTATTGACACTGTGGTTTGTATAGGGAAAACCACGTTCAAATTACATG